AGCTGCCTTGTGACCACAGAGACGGAGCTTTGCCAAGCATTCTCCCATTCCCAGAACCTACCGCGGCAGCCTCACCTACCCGATCACTCATGCTCATAAGAGGCCCTGGGCTGGAACCTGCAAAAAAACAGCTGCTTTGAACCAACCCTGTCTCCTCTTCGCTTCGAATCCCTCCCACCTCCAGCTGACACACATTTGCGAGAAAAGAATAATAAAATGACCCTAAGTTGACCAAACAACATAACTTCTGAGAATCAGGATGGCCAGGGTGGTCAATTCTACTCAGATCCTAAAGCCAGGTGACCTTGGCCAGAATCTCAGAGATGCTTATTAGACTCCCGTGCCTCAGTTTCTTCCTACATAAAATGGGACTAATGATGGAACCTACCTCATACAGGTGGATGATTAAACGATTAATAACATTAAGTATTCCTACCACTGAGTCTGCTTCATCCAGTCATTTCATATAAATGGAATCAAGCAACACGAAGCCTTGTGACTGACTTCTTTTCATTTAGCATGACGTTTTTGAGGTTTGCCCGTGTTGTGGCATGTATCAATACTCAATTCCTTTTTATGGCTTGTTCTGACACTCACTGTTGGAGTGCTAAGCAGAGGACCCCCCCCCCAAGCAGTTCCCTGCGTTCCCGCCTGCCTTGGGCAGCTCAGCCTCCTGTTTCCCAAGGTCTTCATCAAGCTGACTCTCCATACCTGACCTCAGGTCAACAATTCCCACCCAAACCCCACCTTCCTGGATGGAGGAGCCGGCAGCAAGGGTACCAGCCTGGCTCCACCCACCCTGACGCTGGCTGGTGTTTGCACTTTTTTGGGAGAACTAACATTTTGACAACTTTGAGTCTGGCCTTTTTTTAGTTTGGGATAGGGCCACTTTTCATGTGGCTTTATTCTTCTCTGAGCACTCCCAACAGGCCACCACTGATTCAAAGGGCTCATCTGCAGCATCTCACCTCACCCAACACCCCCCCGAGGCAGTGACATCCTGCTCCTTTCACAGAGGGGAACTCGGACTCAGGCTCCCCACCTTAGGAACTCTTCCTCCCCCTGTCCTGCCCACCAACACCTCAGCGTCATTCAAGGGTTCATGCATATGTCCCCACAGTCACCCCCCAGATTCTCTAGCTGAACAAAGGCCTAAAACAGAACAGCCCACACTGACCCAGGTTGAAAGTTTTATATAAACTCATTTTTTTTTTCAATGTAAAAAGGGAAATGCTAAGAAGCCACCCGATGTGACATCTGAAGTCACCCCAATACAGACCTGCCAGCACTGAGCGCAGAGCTTCTCCCGTAGGTTCTTCTGTAGGCCCTCAGTTCTAGAGTGCTTCCTCTAAGTCCCCCTGATGAGGGGCACACCGATGCCCAGGCTTGGGGCCACTGAAGCAATTAGCCAAAGGCCCAAATAGAGCCCCAAACGAGGTGGGGACAGCGAGAAGTCAGCTGGGGGCAGGAGGCCAGGCCCCCACTGAGAGGTTGGGGAGCACAGGAGCTGGACAGCTAGCTCCCCATGCCTGGCTCTACCTCCCACTCAAAGGCAGCCCTTCCTTCCTCGGGTTTTCTTTATTACATTTCCAGGGAAGGCCCAGAGCCCAGGCGAGGGTGGGGTGGCGTCAGCTCACGTGGGCCCTGCGTGCCCATCCTGCACCTCTCCGCCCAGCTCGGCCTCCAATGACTTCACCTGGAGCAGCCCGAAAGTAGCCACCGGCAGCATGTTTTTACCGAGGAAGGCACACCTGTTACCAATCAGCCCACGTGTGGCACATTTACCTGGCCCCCGGCCCGCTGCAAGGGATCGTGGGCCAAGTTTATGGTCAGAGGTGGAAGGGGAAGCAGCACTCAGTTCTGCAAACGGAAAAAATCCAGCAGGAACAGAGAGTCATTCCCAGCATGGAGAGCCAGGCCTCAAGGGCCCTGGGAGCCCTTGGTCCCACCCTGCATTCTTCAAGGGAGGCAGACGGTCCAAGTCCTCAGAGCCAGGGGAGGATCGACCCAGATCTGCTGGCTCTAGACCAGTGCTCCTCCCACTGAACCAAGTGTCCTCCATAAGGACAATTTGAAACTCAAGAACTTCCCTGGAGTTGATGGAGGGAAATGGGTCCCTCTTGGAGCCCTGGTGTTGGGGTCTCTACAACCAATAAGTAGGTGTGTGCCAGGGGGAGCCTTGGACATGACACCCTTTATGAGTGGGGGTCCATCCCTCCCTTCCTGGCATCCTCAGCCTCAGGCCTCCCACAGCACCAGGTCCCTCGCCGCCCTGTCCACGGCGGCTCACCTGCTAGCTCAGGGGGCAGGTAGAGAACATTCCCTGAGCCAGCTGGCCCTTTGACAGGGGGAGGGGGTTCAGGGTGAGGTTATGTCCATCAGCTTTTAGAACACATTCTTGGCTTATTAATTCTCTCTTCTATTACACAGACAAAAGTAAATAAGTCTGGCAGAGTCTCAGGCAGCCTCTCCCAGGGGCCTTCCTTCCCTGCTCAGACAGAGCAAGAGCCAACAGGTTTGGAAGCACTGAGCTCCCAGGCCATGCTTCCCAGGGGCCTCCTTGGCCTCCAGCCCAAAGTATCTGGGCCCACTGGGACAAGGCTGGACCAGCTTCTCTGCCTAGGAGGACCCACAGGCCAGCATTTGGGTCCTGGGGTTGGTTCATGTCCCCCAAAGATACCAGGGCAGGTCAGCAAAGGTCAAGCCAAAACTCCAAGCTCCAAACCTGTTCTGCCCTGCTCCTTTTAGAGGAAAGTACTTGAACAGCATGTTTGTTTACTGCTTGCTTCAGTTAAAATCATACTGATAAAGGTTCAGAAAGAACAAACGTAATGAACAGTCACAAAATCAAAAGAAGTCAGAAGCTGGGTGTGGCGGCACACACCGATAATCCCAGCAACTCAGGAGGCTGAGGCGGGAGGATTGCAAGTTCCACGCCCTCTGGGAAATTTAGCAAGGCTCTGACTCAAAATAAAATACAAGGGCTGAGGATGTAGCTCAGTGATAAAACACCCCTGGGTTCAACCCACCCACCTAAAAATAAAAGTCAGAAAAATTGAATAACCAACAGAGAACTGTTATGGAAGACATTTTCAAGAGGATTCTACTGATGTTTAGAAGTGCCGTTCACAGCCAGGTATGAGGACACACACTGTTAATCCCAGAGACTCAGAAGATTGAGGCAGGAGGATTGCAAATTGGAGGCCAGTCTGGGCAACTTAGTCCTATCCCAAAATAAAAAGGCCTGAGGATTTGGCTCAGATGTGGAGTGCTTGTCTAGTATGCATGAGGCTCTGGGTTTAATCTCCAGCCCTCCCCTACCCCGCCAGAAATCTTGCAGAGCTGAGAATCTTGGATATCAGCCTTTACCTCTACACGCAGCCTTTACACCATTTCTAACAGCCTGCGTAGACATCTGGGGGGGTATTTTTCCTCCTTCCCCTCACCTATCTCATTTTCCCATTTCTGATTTGGGAAAAAAAAGGAAAAAAAAGCTAAGAATTGCTGCAAAAAATTCCAAGAAGTCAAGTTGTAAGGTCTGGGAAAATGGGAGGAGACAGAGAGATCATTCAGATCTGTCCTGCCCTGGGATGAGCTGTGGACATAGCTCCTTCAAGGCCCCCACGATGTGCATAGCCCAAGAGCTTGTCCATGTGAGTCCCACTCAGGTACATCACTGTCACTTATGATTGGCCAAATGATTGCCAAGTCATGGTGGTATCAAGAATCAAGATTCTGGGGCTTTAGATGTGGCTCAGTGGTAGAGCACTTGCCTGGCACCTGTGAGACCCGGTGTTCAATCCCCAGCACCGCAAATAAATAAATAAATAAAATAAAAATCCATTTAAGATAACAACATGGGTATGCAAGTTCCCCCACACCTTCCTATAGTCCTATCTAATGAAAGGTTCCCAGGTGTATCCTTGCTGGGGACTCTTCCCCTCCACCTCCAAGTATACCAGTGCAGAGAAGCTGTGATGACCCAGGATCAGGACTCTGGTCCCACATCCTGAAGGGCCTTATGTGTACCCAAAGCCAGGGCTGAAACACCTTTCTTGTGCCATGGAACCCTGTGGATCCTATCTTAGAGTAGTATTTTCTCCATGCTAAGTAAAATACAGAGAGTTGCGACTTAGTGATTGTTCAGCTTAACAACTTTCAACTTTATGATGGTGCAAAAGTAATGTGTATTCATAGAAACCACACTCTGGATTTTAAATTTGGATCTTTTCCAGGACTACACCGTCAGACCCTTGTGACACTGGGCAGCAGCAGTGAGCTCCCTGTCAGCCTCCTGTCTCCAGGGGAGATGACACTCTGCAGCAGGTTCTGTGGCCGAGCTACGCATTTCATCAGGTTAAGAGGATTCGGTGCATTTTTAACTTACGATGTTTTCAACTTCCAATGGGGTTTTCATGACATAATCCCATCCTGCGTCAGGAAATGTCCATTCATAGGAAATTGACACCACTGAGTACAGCTGCCCAGATACCTTAAAAACCCCCAATCCAAGGTACAGGTACATTATGCACATCTCGGTGTGGGTCTAGCCATTTCTGTAATTTGGAAGCAATCACGCGCACACAGACAAGATTCCACGTATCTGCAATCAACAGTAATGCCATGTGAACACCGCTATGGTTTCTGTGCATGGCCTCATCACAGGCACTGTCGATGAGCTGTGGTCGGAGGCCTGCCTTCATCATGGAGGAAAGGCAAACTCTTGAGTGAGAGGTGGAAGAAAGTGAAGATGTGACCCTCTTCCCGTCTGGGCTCTCGGGTGCCCTGAATTCTGTGTGTGAACGCTGTGTCCAGGACTCCTGGAAGGAGTAGCTCTTATGCTGTTGGGTTGACCAGCTTCACCTCGGTGGGCCAACAGAAGCAGCTCAAATTTTTAGGATTCTGACCTGGCTGGGGGTTACAGAGGCATCTGGGCCTTCTAATATGCCCTCCCCACTTCCTGTCCCACCAGAGAGCAAAAGTGACCAATAGAAACCTACCTTCAGGCTCCTCCACACTGCTGGCTGCGGTGGTTGGCGGCGCTACAGGAATCTCTTTTTGAGGTTCAGGATGGAGAGGAGGAGAAAACAAGGTAAGAAGATATTATTTTTGAGCTTGGAAAGAGAATGAGCTCAGCACAGCCTCCTCCCAAGCTCCCTGGAACTATTTGTCCCTTGCCCAATCCACAGTTCCGGAAAAGGGAAGAGGAGCGAGCCCGCAGAGGGAACTCGGGGGGGGGTGGGGGGGTGGGGGGGGTCCTGGGCACCTTGTCCTGTTCTCCTTTCCCTTCACACCTGGCACGGATGTCATGGCTACTGGTTGTCAAGGTGGGACAGGAGTGGGGAGAAGCACAAGGGAACTGGTGGCATGGGAGGGCTGGCCCTGCACCCAGGGCCTGACCTGTGAGTCTTCCTCAGGTCTGCTGTGTGTCATCAACTTCCATCAGCCCCACGGGAAGTGGAGCGGAGCTTCCCCAGGCTTCTTGCTTATCATGGTAGCTACCTGGGCCCTCACCTGTGACCGCAACTCACAGGTGACAAGGGATCTGGAGCAAGGATGTCATGTGAGGGACTGTCTCCTGTCGGGAGGGTTCTCACAGGGACAGAGTTGTGTCAGCAGCCCGGGTCCCTGTTCTTATTTCCTCTTTCTGGACAAGGCCAAATCAGTGGTCCCTGGGAGGAGGGGACTCACTTCCCCTAGTGAGTGACTGACCTCAGATCTCACTGACTGTCGCCACCATCCGATTCTAGGCTTTATGAACTCCCTCTGACTCCAGTTCTAGATTGACTAGGCTCTGAGACTTGGGGAACAGGAATGGAATACCCAGGAGGCTTGGGGAGCACGAGTCACCTGGAGGAGGCAGGGTTTGCTCCTTGAAAAATGGGTGGAGGACAATCCTCGGTGTGGAGCCAGATCTTGTTCTCTGTGATCGTATTAGCAACGATCACAGCAGCTCATTAGGAACTTGGGACCTTGGACCAGGCCCTTTCTGAGCCCTATAAAGCTAGATGGTCCCAGCAGATGGAGGCACCATCTCCATAGTCCAGTCTAATCTCGCCAGTCCCTGAATTAAGCTGGGGCGATGGCCACAGAGCCACACTGGCCACCCAACCTCCGTGTCAGGTGCTCAGGGACATCCCGGGATGGAACCCTGGGGCTGCGGATGTAGGTGGGAATGCTCTCGGTCCAAGTCTGAAACACCAGCTTCTGTGAGCTTGGTCTTTCCAATAGGGGATCTAAAATATTGGTTCCAGTCCTTCCTGAACATCCAGAAGATCCCTGAATCCCTTTAAAAGGGAGCTCAAAGGTTGGGGGTGTAGCTCAGTGGCAGAACCCTTGCCTAGGACATGTGGGGGGTTCCATCTCCAGCACTGAAATAAAAAAAAAAGGGAGACCTCATTTCTTCTCCCCACCTCCACGTTTTCATAACCCCAGATTTCCTCCTGCCTTTCTAAAAATTCTATTTGATTTAGAAACTGGTCAGAACTGTTGATGGGACCAACACAGCTGGCCTGTCCCAGAAGCAAAGGGCCCCCATCTAATTGGGACAGGTGATGTGTACAATGTCTAAGGTTCCCTTCTGCTGGAGGAGGGGTTGTCTGTGAGGTCTATGGGAAATGCTCAAGGACACCCTGGTGGCTGTTGGTGTCAGGGGGTCCCCAGCCCCCAGGCTTGTGAGACTCCCACTCTCAAGTTGTTCCAAGTCCCTCATGACTGACCATCGTCGTCACCAGAGCCCACCCAGAGCTAAGACACAATGGAATCTGAAATACAGGTTGGCTGTCTTCCCCTGAAATGGGCCAGGTAGTAAATACCGTGGGCCTCCAGCAATTCAACTCCACCGTGAATAGCAGCTGAAGTTGGCATGTAAACAAGGGGTGCGGCTTTATTCCAATAAAACTTTTATTTATGGACCCTGAGCTTTGAATTTCACATGTTTTTATATATATATATATATATATGTCATGAAACATTATTCTTCCTTTGATTTGTCTTTGACCATTAAAAAATGGTTCAAACCAGTGAGCCAGGCCATACAAAAGCAAGCAGCAGCCAGCTCCCGGGGCTCAGAGCTTGCCAACCTTGCTCTCCAGAGAACCAAACTCTGCTCCTGGGACTCAGCCTCGTGCACTGGGACCCGCTGCCTTTCCTGCCCTCCTTTCTTGGCTTGGTCAGCCCTCCCCAGGGAATCATCAGGCTGAGGAAGAGGCTAAGGTCCAGCCAGCTCCCAATTAGGCTTGGCTCTCCAACCAGGGCTAATTCCCCACTCGCCGTGCCAGCGTGACCCTAGCAGATGTAAAACACTGAAACCCTCTGAGCCAAGGCTTCTGAGTGACCCCTGCCATCCTGCTCACACCCCTCTTCATGCTCCAGCAACTCAAAGGCTGAAAACTTGAGGCCCGATGGGATCCCTGGGACCCCTGCTATGATCCTTCATAAGGACTATGGGTGCCGTGCCCAGAGGCCGTGACTCACTCTCTCAACGACCCTGGGATTTAAGTCCTGTTTGTACTGAATGCACCGAGGCAGGGGAATATTGGGGTGTCTGTAGTCAGAAGTCCCCCCCCCCAGCACCAGGTCTGGGGTCAAGGCGGGATGTGGAAATGGGATCCGTGCTGGAGAGTGGGGCTTGTTTCTCAGGAGCCAGAGACTTGTGTGTGTCAGGACAGAAGGCCGTGAACAGGCTGGCTCTGCAGAACCAAGCTCGGCGGGGTCTCCCACAGGGTCTCAGTGAGCCCTCGGCATCGAATGCAGAGATACCCATCACTGAGAGCAGTAATCAGCAAACCCACAGGGTCTCCCCCTCCTAAGCCAAGGATGGGAGAAAGAGGAGCTGGCACATACTGATGCAGGGTGCGATGGGAGAGCGGCTCTGCTGGTAGCCCTTGGCACAGCGGTTGCAGGTGATGCCCGTCACACCGTCCTTGCAGGGACACTGGCCAGTGGTTTGGTTGCAGGTCTTGCCAGCGGCGCCCACGGGGTGGCAATCACAAGCTGTGAAGGACACACAAGAAGAAAGTCAGAGGGGTCCCTCCCTACCCAGGAGCACCCCCTGGATCCCACTCCAGGGGAACAGCGGGGGTGGGAGGCGGGCCCAGCCAAGCCCACACCTGGTCCAGAAGCTCTGGGACTGGTTGGCTGCCAACCAGGAAATAAGGAAAGAAAATCAGAGTGAACCTCCCTAAAAGGGCTGTTTTGGCAATAGCAGAGGGAAGCTGGGGGGTCCTTCTGAAGCTGCAGGAAGAAAGACCATATTAAATACGTTTTCAAGGGCTGGGGGTGTAGCTAGCTCAGTAGTACAGTGGGTGTTTAGTATGCACAAGGCCCTTGGTCCAATCCCCACCAAAAAATAAATAAATAAATAAGTAAAAATGTCTTCAGGAAGGAAGAGCCCCCGCAGCCCCAGTCCTGAACGGATGGGGGAGTCAGAATTTCGAGGCACACCTTCCCTTGACAGAGTGAGTTCATGCATTTTTACTCTTTGCCCTCAACCGCTCTTGGCTCTCAGGTTTTTTTTGCAGATCCTCTGGGTAAACAAGTGGGGTTCTGGGGCTCATAAAGGACTAGCGTCGGTAGATCAGAGGGGAGGCCCAGGGAGGAAGCGTCTAGGCTGTTCTGCCTCCTTGGTAGCCAGGCATTCACAGCTTGGGCTTCTAGATCACAAAACTCACAAACTGCGGCACTAGAAAGGGTCACAATGATAATGTGATGTAGAGCCCTGATTACATGTGCAAAGACTGGAGGTACAGGAACCTCCTGGGGCCTCACAGGAAGGCCACAGCCAAGCTGGGAGGAGACGTAAGGCCCCTGATTTGGGGGCCAGGGGTTACGGCATGGGAGAGCAGGCCCCACGCCCCTCCTCCTGATTCCCACGCCCCTCCTCCTGATTCCAAAGGGGTGGAGGGTTGTACCCTCTCCTGCCACAACCCGAGGCCCCCCCTGCTGTGTTCTAAGGACCATTTTCAGTAATGAACAGGCCAGAGGACTTTCCAGGAGTCATCTCTACCAATGCCATGATGCTCTGGGCAAAGACGGTTTTGCCAGCAGGTAGGGGACATCTACCTAACCAAGGCAGTGGGCTGAAGGTGGACAGGAGGAGAAGAGAAGGTGAAGGAGGCAAATGTTCTGCCTGTCCCCTTGCCCTGAGGAAGCCCTGAGAGGGTGGTGGATGGCCTGTGGCAAGGCATCCTCCAGCCACTTCAATGGGTTCCACAAGCTGCTGTGTGCTTCTGTCCCCAAGGGAATAAATATATCCAGGAAAATAAGTGAGAGCAGAGATCCTTCAAGAGCTAAAGGGGACGGACATCTCCAGGGGTCCCAGCTCAGTGCGAGGGCGCGAGTCTGCAGATGAAAACGCAGCCTCTCCCAGAGGCCTCGGCCCAGGAGTGGTCAGTCAGGGAGGGAAGAAGGACGCCGAGGAAGCACAAAGGAGAAGGTGAGGCACTCGTTACTGCAGTTGTGTTCAGATATGGAAAAGCTCCCAGAAGCACCGGGGTGAGGGAGCTGACAGGGTGCCCCGGTCAAGACAGAGACAGAGGAGGGCAAAGGCCTGAGGACTGTGGACCTGCTGGCTCCTCACAGCACAGGATCCACGGGAGGTGCTGGGACCAGTCCCATCTCATCAGGACATTGTCTTTTGACATCGACCCTAAATTCAAATTCATACTCTATTATTTGTTTTTAATTAAGTATTGTAAAAAAAAGACCCAGATTAATGGCCCATGGGGGCATGGTGACCATGATGCTGGTGGGGAAGGGCTGGCAGGAGGGAACCTTTGACTTTCCCTACAGCCTCTTAAGTCCATCCCCACGAAGGACAGGGTGACTGCATGGGCTCATTTCTAAGTTGGCCATGTGAATGTTGGGGGGCCCATAGCACAGGGTCCCCTAATCTCAAGCCCCTGATGTGGGCATGGGCACCTGGCAGATGGGGACTACAGGGGATCACGCCAGCTGACCTCCCTTGGCCCGCTCCACGAGGCTGCTGGTAATCCTCAAATTCACGCCAAGACCTATTCCGCTCGGTGCTGATGGAATACAGCTGTGTGCCAGTACATTTCGGATCCTTGAACTTGGCCCAAGAAAGGTCACAAAAGGTGGCTCTATTGCTGAAGAGCCAAGTCACACACGGGCACCACCATGGCCCCGGTCATCTCTGTCTTGGTGGAAGCTGGATGGAGGCCGCGGAGGACCGTGCCCCGTTCTCATCCATGGCCTGGCATAGCTGGTGGCCAGCCCTGCTGCCTGGGAGGGACCAGGCACCAGCTGAGGTCTGCTGCAGCCCGGGGCCATCCTCAGCAGAGGCAGGCGGCTCTGTGTCTGCTCTGGGCAGCCGGCACTTCCGAACGGCCCGTTGTTTGATGAAACACGAGCTGATGCTGGCTGCTGGCTTTCCAGATCTTTCTCCCTCCCAAGATTCTGCAAAGACTCTGTCTGGTCTGAGACAGCAGGCTGGGTATGCTTCCACACCCATAAATCATTGTTCTAGGAGGAGAAGTCATCAGGGTCCCTAAGGCCACTCAAATCGGGTCCAGGTCGGCATGACTATCACCAGGCTTCATTTTGTCCATGACAGAACTTCCCTCCCTCCAACAATAGCACCCCACTGGGGCTCCTGCAGCCCACCACTGAACATCCATGCTCTCACACACCCTGTCTCCTCAGTCCCTCCAACAGCCCTGTGAAACTGCCACGACTGTACAGCAGAGGAGAGCACAGGCTGGCCAGGAAGTCACAGGAGACACAAGGCTGTGCAGAGATGGAGATGGCCTGGATCTCTGAGGGGACCACTCGGGCACCTTACCCTCTCTGGATGTCCCCTCTGCACTTCTGGTTCTTCAAGGAGAAATAAGCTCTGATCTATTTCATCCAATAGGAGCGGGCTTTCTGTTACTTGCAACCAAGTGCAATCCTAATAGAGACCTGTATTGCTCTCTGGTTGAATTTGTCGCCCCAAAGCCAAACACACTTTCCCAAAATGCCCAGGAATCGGGATGGCCCGAATTGCACCCTCTGTGCAAAGAAGGGTGATTTTCAACGTATGGGGAGAGTGGACAGATGACAATGTCCCCATGGTGTGTTCTTCTATAGCTGGGAAAAGAGACATCTGACCGTCAATGTCAAAGGAAGAGATTCTGAGCCCGGTGGAGCCCCAGGACTTGGCCTTAGGAAGAGAGTCGAAGCATTTCTTGTTGTGGTCTCTCCTCCCAGAAATGGAAACACACACACACACACACACACACACACACACACACACACACCTCCGTCACAAACACAGATTCCTACAAGCTCACCCACAGACACACACACAGACTCACACAGAGCCTCAAGAGGGCAGAAGGCAGAGGGCAGAGGGGTGGAGTGAACAGGGGTGGGGAAAGGAAGTGAGGTAAATGGAGATCTTTTCCTCCGAGGGGAGCTCTGGTGAGGAGGATGAATAGAGAGCATTGCTAACTCTTCTGAGAACAAGGTACAGGTCACCACACCGCCTGCCACAGGAAGCTCATCTGGGGACTCTCATTTCCCTAGAAGCTGGCCACTTTTTTCCAGGAGGAAGTCAATCCCTTCCATAGCAGGTCGCCCTGTCTCCATGGGGCAGGCAGCACCTGGTCATGGGAAATGAGCTACCAGAGGGTTTTTTTTTTTCCATAATGAGAAAGGTGAGCCCAGAAGGAAGCCCAGGTCCCTGAGAACTTGGTGGGATCAGGTTTCCCACAAACTCGGCCAGCTGCAGAGCCTCCCAGTGAAGCTGAGAACCCAGGCTGTCCTTGCTCGGCGTCATCAGACAGGGACACACAATTTGGGGACCTAAAAGGTTTCAGATGGGCAACAGGTGACGCAGGCCTACTCCTGCCCTGACAGTTACCCTGGGTTAGTGCCTCCTGGATCCTCAAAGCTCCATCAAGTAGAGATTCCCTCACTGCCCTCAGAGTCCCAAGTCCATTGTGGACTCCCATCAGTGGATCTGGCTATTTTTACTGAGGATCCTGGCCCCAGGGGCTCTTGGGATCAGGCTGGACCCTCCTAGGGCAGCAATGTAGTGCATCCTTTTGGAGGAGAAAGGAGCAGGCTCAGGACCAGTCCCTCTGGAGCTGGGGAGACAAACCGACCTCGGACATCATTCCAGGCCTCCAGCCAGTCCTGCAAGACGGCTTCTGGCCAGCATCATGTTAGAGGCTAAATCCGCACCCCATTCCCCTAGAAGCTGAAGTCCTAACCCCTCGTACCTATGAATGGGATATACTTGCACACAGGGCTGCCAGGGTTCGGATTTTGGAATGTTCCCCAACAAATCATGTGTGTCGGTTGGGGAGAGATTGGTCATGAGGGCTCTGATCTCAGTGGATTCATCCACTGGTAGCAGAAAGGCCCACCAGCCGGTAGGACCCAGTTGGAGGAAGCAGGCCACAGAGGGCGTGCCCTGGAAGAGTACCTCTTCTCTCTAGGGCTCCCTCCCACCCCCAACACCTCTCTCTCTCTGCTTCCCAGTTACCAGGAGCTGAGCAGCTGTCTTCTGCATTGCTAGTTCTTCTGAGAACACGGTACAGGTTACAACTTCTGCCATGACGCTCTGCCTGACCTCTGGCCCAAAGCAGTGGAGCTGACCAATCCTCAAACCGTGAGCCAAAATAAACCTTTCCTCCTCTAAACGGCTCTTGTTGTGTAGTTTGGTCACAGGGATGGAAAGCTGACTAGCCCAGGGTCTTTAGAAAGATAATCAAGACCATGAGAATGGGCCCTCATCCAACATGACACAGGTCCAGAGGAAGGAAGAAGAGGGCCATCTACGAGCCACACAGAGAGAAGCCTGGAACGGATGTCCTTCCCTCACAGCCCTCAGAGGGAACCAGACCCGTTGGCATCTTGACCTTGGACGTCCAGACCCCAGAACTGTGAGAGCACCAGTCTCCGCTGCTTAAGGCACCAAGTCCTCAGCACTTGGTTCTGGAAGGCTGTGCTCAGCCTCCGACCAGCCTCTTCTTCCCGAGGACTCC